CAAGCAGCGATGAAGAGCGATCCGGGAAAACAAATAAATCGTCATCACAACCCACACTTTCACAAGATTCTGGGAATACTGAACCTAAGAAAATTAAAAAAACAAAATATAAAAAACGGATAGAAAAGCAACCTAAACTTGAGTCAAATGATATTGGACCGGAAATTTCTTCAGATTGGGAACGTGACATTGGCGACATTGAATCTGTAGAGTTAAAGGACGAGAGACTTGTCGTCTTTGTTGCATGGTATGCTTTTTTTTTTTTTTTTAAAAAAAAAAAACGCGAATACGTGATTTATTGTCACTTTTTTTAGGAATTCTGGAGTGAGAAGCATGCATTATGTAGAGGAAGTGAATCAAAAGGCACCGCAAAGGGTAAGATATTCTTGATATTTCAGTTTTAAATATTAAATTTACTAGTAAAAATTTTCTTTATTATAATTTAGATGCTTGGATTTTATCAACATCATTTAAAAATTAAAAAGTTTGTGAGAAAGAATAGATGGTATTGTTTTTAAAAAATCATGTTTTGATTGACTTCAAAACTTTAATAATTTTTGCCCATTTTTTTGATGTATTGGCTTTTTTGTCTTTTCTTAACATGTTTATAATTATGTCTTTTTTGTTGCATTAAATCTTTTATATTATACAAATCTTTTCGATACTAATAATAACGTATATGTTTACTTATTGGCTGTGCATTGTAAAAATTTATCAAAAATATCGTATGCTGGGCTAAACGGGTGCCACGAAATGAAACTTGTCATCGGTTTTTTAAATTTACAGTATAATTTACCGGACACAATACCAAAAAAAATAAAATCAGATAGATTAAGTCCGGTAAGCAATAAACTTGAAACCCGATGTCAGGTTTTCACTTAGCGACACCCAAATAATAAAGACTGTGTTCAGTGATTTTGGAACTAAGGATTGAAATGCATCAAATAGTTTCATGGTTTGGGAGTTTCGAGCCAAATTGTGTTGAACAAAATTATCTTGAGCTAAATTGCCACTCAAACAAAAAAAAATTTCAGACTATACTACCAGTTTCAAAAATGCAAATAGCACAAAATTTTATTAAGATATCTTGTTTATAGCAACTGAATAAGTATTTGAAATTCGATTCTATATATAATGTTGCGAATGATGGTGAAATTAAATCTCATCACCATCAAAATCAGCGTTAATTTTTCAGTTAAAATTTACTGTGCGGATACCGCACAATTTAGAAACTTTTCGGTGCGGCAAATAAAGAAAAATTATAAACAGCTTTTTACAAGTGTGCGCACTACTTACGAAATGTCAATTTTTTCTGTGCAGCATCTGCACACCTGTTAAAAAAAATGTGCGCAAAATTTTGTTTCTGCACAGCGAAAAATAATCACGGATCGAAATTATCGGGGATACACAAATCTAAAATAAATTAAAATTAGTTACTTTTAAATTTTATTTATCAAATAATAATAATAATAATAAATTTTACAATAGATACCAGGGAATGATTCAGGGAATGATTTAACAATTTGGCTTTTATAATTGTCCTCCGAGTATTCTTGCGTATCTTGCGTATGTATACTTCTAGTATTTATAGTATTTTCTGATTCATCTAATTCTGATAGAATAATTTCATCTTTTTGCCACTCGATAAAAATTTTATAAATTTCTGATGCTGATGGACGTTTTTTTGGTTCTTTTTCCCAACATTCCTTCATTAGATTTATGTAAGATTTTGGAGAGCCCTCACTAATAGGTGGTCTTAAATCATTACAGCATATTTCCATTTTAAATTGCTGATTAAACTCTCGATCGTAAAATACAGGTTTTCCATATAAAATTTCCCACATAATTATTCCAAATGAATAAATATCTGATTTCACTGTATATTGGCCTTCATTTAAAGCTTCCGGTGCAATATATGGCAAAACTCCACAAATAACACGCTTTTTTAATGCAATATTCATTGATATTGAAAGTCCTAAGTCCGCAATATATGCACTATGCAAATTACTTTGTAAAACATTACCACTATGTAAATCTCGATGAACAAGATTATGAGAATGGATTGTTATAAGGTCAGAAGCAATACATATCAATAAATTTAATTTATCTTTCCATTCTATTTTTGCTATGGAACAAAGATTTTTACGTAATGAATCCAATTCTGCATGTTCTAAAACCATAATATAATCTTCGGAAATTTCATCTTTTGATATTCCATAGCATCTCAAAAATGAAGGATTTTTAGAGCCAATATCACAATATGCCTTTAGCTTTAATATTAGAAAAAGATTAAAAATTTGAAATTGTCAAACAACAGTGAGCATGAAAATAAAAATCACCTCTCTAATAAATCCTTCACTGAAAGAGTTTGATTTGCAAAACAATTTAAGCGCAACAACTTTTCGTGTGATGTCACCTTGCATGTTTCTTAACCACTCGATATACTTCTGCAAATCCACCTTTTCCTATCAGTTTAATATTTTCAAATCCTTTATAAGGAATCCATAATAATGGATATTTTTCTTTAACTAATAGTTTTTTTGATATCTTCATTAATATCGAAAATTTTACTTATCCGTTCATTTGCGGCTAAAAAAAGTCAATTAGTAAATATCAAATTAGGCCAAAAAGAAATTGAATGCTAATAATTTAATAATGTATAATCGCGAAATAACGTTTATGAACGTTATTTAGTAAATTGGATCCTTTAAGAAATATAAAATAATGCCCACACGCGTCCCGAAATAAACCACATTTGATATATGTATTTCGGATTCAAAACTTTGACCTTTATTTCGAAATAACGCACATAAGCGTCTCGAAATTACTCGCCTTATTTCGCAACTATACGGCACCTTGATCATTAAATCAAGGTATTACTATTACAAATTACCTATTATCTTATTCTTTTTCCCCTAATAATAATAATATATATATATTATAAAGATTCTAATAATTTAAAACAAACAAATAAATAAATAAATAAAAGGGATTATTTACATTTGATACCCTTTTGTAAGTCCTTTGGTACCCCAATCCCATTTCTGTAGCAATAACCAACTCGATTCATTGCAGTAACATGGCCCATTTCGGCAGATTTTTGATAGTAGATGAATGCTTGATTTTCATCTTTTTTGATTCCAATTCCACGTTCATAACAATATCCAATTTGATATATTGCTACAGTATTTCCCATCTCTGCAGATTTTTGATAATGAATAAATGCTTGATTTTCATTCTTTTCAACTCCTATTCCATGTTGATAAAAATATCCAATATTGTATATTCCACTAGCATTTCCCATCTCTGCAGATTTTTGATAATAAATAAATGCTTTACGCATATCCTTTTCAATTCCTATTCCTTCATAATAACAATATCCAATGTGATTTATTGCACCATCATTTCCCATTTCTGCAGATTTTTTATAATGAATGAGTGCTTCATTTTCATTTTTTTCAACGTTTATTCCATGTTGATAACAGTATCCAATTTGAAATATCCCGTCAGAATTCCCAGAATCTTGTGAAAGTGTGGGTTGTGATGACGATTTATTTGTTTTCCCGGATCGCTCTTCATCGCTGCTTG